CCCCAAAACCCCAAAACCCCAAAACCCCGCTAATTAAAATTTTATCATTAGTCAGGAAAATAATATTTTAGGATTAATGTTTATTCGAATTAAATATTTCCTCCTATTAATTTATAGATAGAATTAAATATGATTTAATCACTAAACGGCAGGCCTATAACACTAGCAAAATTAATTTTCTCATTTTGCCTAATTCAATATTTGTCTTACCTCTATGGTATACTAGCAATTATTCTACTCTAGTATGCATTCCACTAGTTTATGTGAATTTGTTTCTAAATGCTTAAAGTTGGTGAAGGTGCTGATGAATTGTTTTTTGTAGCAGAACCGACAGTTGTGTTCCATATTATTACTTAAACTTAGATCAAGGATATTAATGATCTAAAATCCTAATTGATTTCGAAAACAACAAATATCCCAGAAATGAGAAGTAAAATAGTAAAGATCTTTAATTCCCACTATTTAAAGATGTTTAATCTAGAAGATTTCACAAGATTACTAAACAGCGCTATTTCTGAAATTGCCGAGGATTTTCAAAATGAATAAGATTTATGCAACTTTATCGCTACGAAGGTAAATAAGATAATTCCAAAGGACACTCTTCAGTACAGAATTCTTGTAAAATAAGACTTTAACAAGAATTAGTCAGCTGTAGTATTTGTATTTCATCATGGAATTTGCGATGGTGTTGGATTTCTTAATTTTCTCGGTGCTATCTAAGATCAATTTGACATTAAAGCATTACCTTATGTAAGGGAAAGAACATTGAAGGATTAAATCTCAAGATACTTGAAAATTCCCACTGGGGTATTCTATTAAAAGTAGAGTTAATCTGCCAAAATACAAAGGTCCTAATTATTCTAATAATCCAATAATAATCTAACCGAGTATGTAATATCCAATGATTATAAACTAGATGAACTGAAAGCTTTATCAAGGGCGTTTAACAGCTCAATAAATGAACTCCTCATTGCTGCAAGCATTATTGCTAATCAAAAGCTCGCAAATATTTATGGATTTGATGATTTCAATATATATGATGTGCTCATAGCTATCAATTAAAGATCTCCATTGACTAAGCTCTCAGATTTTACCATGCTTAATTAATCCTTATGTTATAACTTGATTGTCAAGCTCAAACATCAAGACTTGTTTCAGGAAAATAATATCACTTAAGTTCTTCCTAAAATTCTAACAATTTTTTAATCAGAGTTATAAAGAGTCAAGGAAGATGATAGAGAGTTAGCTTTATAGTATTATGGAAAGTTTTTCACTTGGTTTATGCCAGATTCGATAATTCCTATAATAGCCAAGAATTTTAATAATTCATTAAAAAGAACTTGGTCCAATCTGAATGGATCAAGCAAGCCTATCAAGATTGCAGGGTCATACTCTGAAAAAATATTTTTTTCCTCATTTCTTAGAGAAGAAGAGTACTATATAGCAAATGTACTTTCTCACAATGGATGGATAAGATTAGCTATTATAGGAAGAAATTAAAACTTCAAATTTTTGGATTTTATTTAGTAATTCAACCTAGTGATGGAAGAATTGATGAATGGAAAAAAGTGAAGAATTTAAATTTAATTATAATGAAATTTATGCTTTCATTAATTCAGCTAAGCTAAAAATTAATTCTCTAATTACGGGGTTTTGGGGTTTTGGGGTTTTGGGG